AATCGATTTTTGGTCATAAAAAAATCGATTGAAGTCAGATTTGTTTTCTACGTTGGAAATTTCCTTGATAAAAAGAATAGAATGCCAACCGGCGTCTCCCACAGAATTTTAGGTCCACGCAGCCCTCTCTCTGAGTCGGGTGGCCCATTTCGAGGTCTGGTTTGTACGAAGGGAAAAGTTTTAGATGCTTGCAAACGAATCTGTCAAGGTTTTCGTAGAACAGATGGCTTTGATTATTCGAAATGAAGTTCTGATTAACTTTACTCGAAAAATTGATTCAGACAACCTTTTTCTGGATCTCTGCTTGATAAATCAGATGACTTTTTGCTTTCGAACTTATTCTAATTGAAAAGATCTTTGATATAAAATTTATAGAATATTACATTATCCACTGAGTTTCATGAGATGCCTTTATTTTTCCAGATCTATAAAAAGTATACACGTGAATATCAAAGTTTTAAGGCTTCATATTAACTCGTTTCTTTATTAGAATGTGTTGATATATAGTAAAAAATAAATCATTTAAAGATGTTTTTCTTCTTCGTGGCAAAAGTTAAAGTGAGCGAGAAAAGATCACTTGTCAGCTTCTTTGAAAAAACTAACCATATCAGTAAAACCATAGATATTTGCGTTATTAAAGGAGAGGATACTGTCCTGAAGGGCATCGTTGAACCATTTATTCCAGTCATCGACAAAATCCAAGGCTTTCTGTGCACCTTCTTCGTTAGCAAAGTAACCAAGACTGACATGAGGTATGTAAGTTTCCGAGGTAGTAACTAAGTTGAAGCGATCATAAAATTGTTTACTTAACTGATGACGTTCGTCCAAGAGCTGCTTGAAGGTTGATATTGAGCTAGCATCAGGACGCACGGCTGCCACAAGCACCACATTGTTCCATATATTAAGTCGATCAAAACGGAAGTTCACATTCCAATCGCGTTTTGTACAGAGTGACGACATCGAAGGTAACTGAAAAATATCCTTTGAAGCGTCAGAAAATGACTTCGGTAAACCTGATAACCAGTTTTCAGCCATTGAACGATATTGCGAATCAATTTGAGCTACATTTTTACAGTTCAAACCATCCCAAAGAGTGACATGATAGGAATTCGATGGAAGGGCACAGAAAAGAAACTTGTTCATCAAAGAGTCGATGCCCAAACGTGTAATACCTTCTTCAAGAATTTTGTAAAAGTGTAGACCAGGATCACTGCGAACATTGTTAACAAGATCATATATGCCAGGAGAGCGATGTTGAAGGCAATGATCTCCTGGATTATTGAAGAGAATAGAAAAGCCTTGAAAAGATGCCCATCGAACATCGAAACCGGCCACTTTTTTATTGGTGATGTGCAGCATGGTATAAGGATGACTGTTCTTCTCTGCATGATTAAATCAGATGAATTCGAGCACTTTCAGTGTAAAATGAACCAAAAAGGAAAAATTCAACAGGAGCGAACTGAAAGATTCTCATTGTGGACAGATATGTTATGGTTTCCTTGATAAGGAATGTAAACTGACTTTGAAACTCATTTTTATCTCCTTCCAGGTTTTGATTATCTCGTCGGATGATGGTAGTGCTGGACCTTCGAATCCTAGCTCAAGGAATACTGTATTATAGGAATACCTCAAGCCCTGTACTATTAACTAATGAAAATGAATTGAAATGTAAATATCCAGTATATTGAAGAAGAACAAAGGATAAACGGTCTTAGCTTAGTTTCTGTGGATGAGAAAAGACACACTAATGGAGTCAAGTGACCTTCTACTCGTCACTTTTTGAAGTACCTATAACACTCGGATTTATATCCGATCTTCGCATAGTTTTTCTGTCTTATAACTTCAAGCATAGATTATTAGTTGGTAAAATTGATCAGCTATTCGAAAATATGTGAGACTATTTGAAGTTGATAATAGATAGCATGTGTTGGTTAAAAGGTACTCTTTTTCTCTAATCCTTAGCAACTCACTTTTTTCGATTGTTGTTGTCGGTTTTTTGGTTATTTTTTTCGTTGGCTTTTTCGTTCTTTCCGTCATTTTTGTTTTTGTCTTTTTCTTCTTGTTTATTTTGTGTTTCTTCTTCTTTGCTGATCTAACATGTCTGTTTAGATGTTCAGTTGCCATCGAACTTTTCTTTTGCCCATACAATGACTGAATACCATCTTGATCCTAGAAAACAATGATCATATGAACCATTATCATTATCTTACTAAGCGACGCCAACTTATTATTTCGTGAGTTACAATTGTATGACTATTGATGCTCATGATCAACGTTTATCATGAACAAACAGTCATATAGATTTCTATTGTTACTCCTACTTGCTTTATGTGCGATAGTAAATGAAAACAAACTGAGAGAAGTCTTGGGAAAGCCTTTCTTATTTATGTCGCTAACTAGACCTAGGACAGTTCACAGTTCAGTTCAACTGCTCAAAAGAACTGTTTGAACAGATCAGCTCCTATCAAAGAACTGTTCAAACAGTTCCCAAGATCGGAACTGATATGGAACTGTCCGGGTCCTATGACTAACTCACTGAATGTTTATGTTACCGAAGATTCTTGAAAAAGAAACGAGTTGAGTGATCTAAGTTGAGCATTTTTGGTAGTTTGATCAAGTTCTAGTTTAGATTTGAAGAGGAGAAGAAAAAGAATTCTTATAGAAACCTTTTTGAGTAACATTTCATTTGATAGGATCGGTTGATAAAGTGAAGACATGATTGAATTTTGATCATTTGAATCTGGAAGACCAAGACTAGATCCTATTTCATGTGCAGCAACTAAACGCAAGTTGTAACCAACACCATCATACCTTTGTATTCACACAACAGATCAATAAAACAAGATGCATGTATCGAGATATTTACGTACGTGTGAGACCAGTTTTTAGTTGCATCAAAATGAATATGTCCAACATGAGGATGTTCGAGAGGAAAACTACGAGATATTTGTCCGCCAAGTTCATCGAATGGAATACCATATGAGTGCTCACCAGATACAAATGCTAAATTGAAATCAGCCTTTTCATCTTCAGTCAGTAATTCACGAAAAGTTAATTCAGTATAGCGAGCCCAATCGTCGAATGCTTGTTGAATGTCTTCACGAATTTTTGTTGGATCATATAAGGAATGATTGTAGTGAAGCTTCCATGTGAGTGTGCGATTCGTTGGCCTTGAAAAGAAAGTATTTTACAACCAAAAAGAAAAGCTCAAATACTGTATATTTGAAAGTTTTTCAATAAGTTTTTTGTAAAATTTTCGATTAACCTTTTAAAGATCCATCTATCTGTGTAGTAAGTTGTTTACAACAAACTTTCAGTTATCAAACATAACCTTAGATACATAGTTGAAGATTTACACAATAAGAAAGGCTGAGATGAATAGGATGTGTTCTAGCCAAGACTTCAATACGATGTTCAAGCGAAATATGACAAGAATTACCACTGTTTCAATCGTGAAAAAATTAAACAAACAAACTTTTGATATCATATTAGAAAAACCTATATTATATGGCCCGATATGCCTTCATTTACTCTTTCACAACAGTGATTCAATTTTCTATCGTATTAATATAAAAAGTGACTCAAAAAAAAACTACTCGTCATTCACACATCCAGAGTATATCCAAATGAAACAAGTTTTATAGGATATTTATTATTGTAATATCAATAGAACTATGAGCAAGTAGCACGGAAAAATAGAGTCTGTTTTTGCTCTATCATATTGTTTAGAGGGACAATTACTTAAGCCGCACTATACTACAGGATGTTTCAAAAGTCCCTTTAAATAAGAAATTGAGATATCTCCGGCAGATGTCGACCAAACGAGCTGAAATTTTTACTAGTGATAGAGGCATATTCAAAGTTTATATCCACAAAGACATAC